TAGATTTTTCTTTTGCAATCTTAATGGTACTTGCAAACTACGTTTAGTTGCTCGGGTTTTCGAAATATTTGACTGAAATGTCTTTTTATTAAAGTATCTTGAAAACCCAAACATATAGCACCGGTTTATCTATTATAATTTTTTTACAGGAAATAAATATACATAAATTACTGCAAAAAATATAAAAATAAATTACTGAAAAGTAAATAAATTTATTCAGAAATATTAATTTTGTTTTATTTTAAAATCAATTTGTTTTTGTTGTGGGTCACTAATTCATTTCTTTTTTGTTTTCAGGAAGAAGTATGAATAATAAAATTATGCTAATTCTAGTGAGTTTAGCTGTGATATGCTTGGCTTTTCCCCAAAAGAAATTAGCGGAAGCATGCAACAGACCAAGGGCGTTCAAAAATTCAGAAGTTTTGGCAGAATATATCAACTGTATTAAATCCTTAGCGAGCGATCAAAGGTGATATTCTTGCAGTTTAAAAAATAACCTTAATGTAGTAGTGTCAATAATTATAGCTTTTTACACGATTTTTGCTATAGTTTCCATTACGGTATCCAACGATCACTTGTTGCTGTTGACGTAGGGGTGGCATATGCTTTATAAATTGCATTATAAACATTATATTGCAAGTTTCTGATAAAAGTTCCAGATTTATTGGTTTTCGACAAAGGAATATTCGTTCAACATCTTCCACATCATCTATGAAACTGAAACTCATTCTTCTGCACTACCTATGCCAAAAATTGCTATAACTTGAAATTACAAAATATCTATTTGTCACTCCATTCAAAAGAATTCGTTCGTACTGTCTTCATGAAAATGTGGGCTTTGTCAAATTGACTGAAATTGTACATACTACTTTGCAGACATCATCAGCAGAACTGACATAGACCGTTGTAAGTAGAAAAGAATTGATTTTCGAACCCAAGTACTGTGGAGAGTTTTGGTCAGTAACACAAAACCAACAACTTACCACAATTTCAGCCAATTTGACCGAGTCCACATTTTCATAAAGTCCTTTGTATGATTTAACTTTGCTGAACACTTTTGTCCTGCATCCTGCGGATGTCCTTAACTTAAAAAATTATTTAAGATCGATGTATCAGTAAAGCTTTCACTATGGAATATTCCGACCAAAGACTGGAGGTTTTATATCCTTGTCATGCTTTCTCAGGTGTTAAAGTTGACGTCGTCACATGTATTTTGAAACTTATCTATTTAATTAAAAGTATAATCACTACTAGACATTTTCAACTTGATATTTTTAATTCAGAATTTTAAGAACAACAATGGCGACTTCAACTATAGCAATTTATTTACAATATTGTTTCCTTAGTACCCAATATGACAGTTCTACAAATATACATAAAAAATTAAACATTTGTTAGGAGAATTTCCACGATCAAAAATAAAATTATACAATTTATACACGTGTAAAAAAACTTGTTTTGGTTAAATAACTATAAATTTCTATGTATATTTTATTTTTTTAATACAAAGTTTAAATTGGTATGATCGTTATAAAATCCAGTTATTACTTAGGGGTATACAATGAACGTTTAGTACCATTGACTGTCATAATCAGTAAAATCAAATTTTGATGATTGTTTTCCTTTATAATGGTCTTCTTTTTATGGAATATTCTTTCTTCTACAGGTATGGAAAAAGATCTCAGCCAAGTCAGTTGATACGGATCCTACATCCCAAAGCCTACTTGGACTACGAGCCTCGTCCAAATCAAGACCTTCAAGAACTTTATAACCTACTGAAAAGCTATGACAACTGAATATAGAAGAATCAAAGATTTTTATTTGTGTAACTCAATAAAAAATAAATTCAGTATTAAATTTTCATATGTAAATGGTTATATTTTATTTATATGTAAATTGGTATAGATAACATCTTGTTCCATTTTTTATGTTGGTAATGTATTTATATAGTAATTAATAAAGTGTGTCAAATTTTCAGCATTCTCTATGATCATTATTTTTCACATGAGGAAATTTTAAACAACTATCAGATAGTTTAAAAATCACAATTTTGAGTGTAGTTTCGACAAATTTTTTATGTTCCAGCTTCTATCTAGTACCACGAGAATACAGCTATGACGATCATATGCTGTTTAATTTCGAAATGATTAACAGTCAAACTATAATAATCAATTCAATACTCAAATAAATGAATATATGTAGAAATCATACACAGGCAAGTGTTTTAATTAAATGTAAAGGCTGAGAATATATTGTACAATGTTAAAAAGAAAATTCAGTAAACATTAATGGGTAGATCTAGTGTTTTTTGGAGTGATTTTGTTTATTAGCCGTTACAGTAATATTGCTAGTGTCTTCTAATACTGGTATGATCCAATATTGTTTTGTCTTTACCCACATAGTTAATTGAAATTCAATAGACTTTAATTACCATATTATATTTAGTACCTTAACACACTATTAAATCGTGAAATGAGTATTACTGATAATCTCTTACAAAGAATGTGTATTATTTGGAGATATACGAGTTATTCACTTTAGAAGGATTAATAAATCTTTTAAATGTTAAGATAACTGGAAGCTGATAATATGCTGTAGATAGACAGATAAATAGATAGATATTTAATCGACAACGATCATTTGGTATTACCAATTCACGATTGGTAATACCAAATAAAAATCCCGAAACCTCGGTGGAGTGGTTGAAGGGGTTACATGTAATTAAATAAAATTGTTTTTAAAATCGATTGACGTGAACTATGGATATTAAACTTAATACATATAACTTAGTATTAGATACTTCCGAAACATACTTTTGTTTTTTGAAACGTTTTTAACTTTATTAAAAGGAGAAAACTACCAAACTTTACTTGTTAATGAACAAATTGCAAATTTTGACTATGCAAAAAGGCCATGATGTGAGCTTATAACAGTTTATTATTTTTTTATTTAAGTACAGAGTAAAATAAACATAGACAGTTTACTTTTTATTATAGAAGAAATATCATTACGAAAAAGTTACATTAATTTAAAAACCATTGCTCTTTGCTGCAATATAAAATAAATTCAAACTCATAAATTAGTAAGCTATATTGCCATATTTACGATAAAAACATTACATATTATGTTGAAAATTATGTTCTCTGGCTATGTACAAATTTACTCTCCTGTGCATATTTCAATACAAATTTTGAAGTTGTTGTTCTGTTATATTGTTAATTTCTCGAATAATTGCTGCCTCTAATTCTTCGATGTGATGCATTTCAAATATCCAAACAAAAAATAATCTAAAGGGGTTAGATCTGGTGACTTTTCTGGATACAAACCGCCATTAATCAGTCGATTATCATAAAATTCTACAAAAAATAGAATTGTTGCTCTTGCAGTATATACGGTTGCTCCATTTTGTTGAAAGTAATCTACTTGTAACTCAGTATCATGTAACTGCTAAAAATGGCTTTAAAATAAGGGTTCGATATCGTTCAGCATTTATAGTTTCGTAGAAAAATATGGGTCCTATAGATACGTTTTCTTGACATCGCTATCCAAACGCCTACTTTTAAGGGATTTAAACAGGTTTATACAAATGCTGTAACCAAGCCAGATATCATTCAGTTTAGAATAATTATGTACATTATTATGAATTTACAAAGAACAGTAATAAACGTACAGTGACGGAACTGGCATTATTTTTTAAATTTCATGAATAGTGGTTTATAATAGCTTTGTTTTGGTTCCTATAAAATCCAGTTCCGAACCGTTCTAATCATGCGCAGTCTGAAATATGCGTTCGTGTTTAGTTTGAACGGTTCAAAATTTCGCATATGTTTGTTTTGGTTTTATTCGAACTTGATTCGGAACTATTCTGAAACATCCGAAGTAGTTCTGGCTTTATAGCACGAATTGCTTAGAACTGTATTATTCGGCGCATGCGTAGTTATTCCCATTTTCTCAAACTCTGTTTGTCATTTATAATTTTTTAATTTCCCGTTTTTCGTTTAAGAAAAGTATCTTTTTTGAGTTTTATGAGTATATTTTTGTAATGCGTTCTGGTTTTCAAATAACTCCGGATAGTTCCGAATCGTTCAGAATTTTGTCAATTGCGTTTATAATTCTGCGATGATTCTGGACTATTCAGAAATAGAGAACCAAAAGAAAGCTAATATTTCAAAGGTTCAATTCCTGAAATCACTCTTATAGAACGTTTATGTATTATAATTTAATTGTAACAGTAGTTTTACTCCATAGAGTGACATATCTTGGAATGAATATAACCATAATAAGCTTGAAGTAACGTTTACCATTATTTTTAGTTGGCGTAGGACATATATTCAGGAGACCAGATTAATGTGAAGTTTAATGTAATTTCACTCTTATCTCTTAAGATATAATTATTTAAGATATTAATTTCTGCGTTTTTCCTCTATTCAGATTAAGCATGTTGTATTCCGCTTTATCTTGACATTCATCAGTTAACTAACGTATGAAGGTTGTCGATAGTTTTATAGTGTGTTACCTGTAAAATAAATGATAAAAGTCCTAATATAGAACCTTGTGGAACCCCATGCTCAATTATTTTAAGATTAGACTTTTTACGATTAATGTATACGAATTGTTCACGATTTTGTAGATAGCACTGTAATATATTTAAAGGTATACTTCTTATTCTTTTTGTTAATTTCTCATAGGCTTTCTTTGATTAACAAGCATTGGGTCTAAGTTAAATAAATGTCAAAAATTGATTCGCACAGGTCGCATAACGCAGATATGTTTTCACATTTGTAAGAATAGAGATGATGTGACAAATTTCATATCAACTAGTGCTGATTTATAGGATAACGAGTCATATTATACTTATATTACTCTAGTGAAGGATTTACTAATGCTGTGATGGATTTAAAAATGAAACTCAAGTTTATCAGAAACATTCCATAGCGAATAGAGGAGTATGTAGTATTCGAAAATTAGAAAAAACACAAAATCAATGAATACTTATAGAATATCATTGTAATAAATTTATTTAAATTATTGATTCATCTCTTGATGGATTAACATTTTTGTCGTTAATAATTTCCAGCGCTACATTTTTTTATAAATATTGTTTTTATTTATGACATTATATTTACAGGAAACAAGAATATTAATTATATAATAAATTAAAATCTTCAATAATTTTTTTAGCATCATTAAGCGCAATGAGATGAATCAGATATACACGAGCTCAATATTGGACTAAAGAAGTTACCTTCTGGGCAGTTTAAAATAAACGGCTCTCCATAGTTGCATGCAATGAACCTTGTACAATCGTTTGGATAAGAAGTGATAAAGAAGAGATCTCGAAACTCTGCGCATATATCCGATGGAGTTTTGCTTTCCGTTGTTGTCGTCGGTGGGACAGTGGTAGGTTCTGGAGATTCTGTTGTTTCAGGTTCGGGAGTTTCTGTTGGTTCAGGTTCAGGAGTGTCTTGTTCAGGAGTTTCTGTTGGTTCGGATTCTGGAGCTTCTGTTGTTTCTGGTTCGGGAGTTTCTGTTGGTTCAGGTTCAGGAGTGTCTTGTTCAGGAGTTTCTGTTGGTTCGGATTCTTCTGGAATTTCTGTTTCTTCAGTAGATTCTGTAGATAGCTAAAAAACAAATTATCGTATTACTATTTTACTTTGTAGTGGAGAGAGAAATTAATAAAACTACTTACCTCAGGTGCTTCCGTTGGTTCTTCGGTGGATTCTTCTGGTATTTCAGTAGGTTCCTCTGGTACGTCGGTAGGTTCCTCAGGTGCTTCAGTTGATGGTAGTTCAGTAGATGGCATTTCAGTAGAAGGTGCCTCGGTAGACGGTGCTTCAGTTGACGATGCATCAGTAGGTGGTTGCGCGGGTACAGTAGTTGGTATCGGATCTTCTGTAGACGTAGTGGAGACTACACAACCAACAACATCAGGCCAGTCACAAGTTTGTATTATTGGATTGTAGTGGGTTCCTGAAGCACATTCCATTACTTGGGATCCCCATGGCGCGCACACGTAATATCTTGAGCAATTAGTCGGATCTGGCCAAGATACTTCATCAAGGCATTCTTCAGTGGAGAGTAGTGAAGCTGCGAAAATTGTTGTAATTAACACACATTTGGCCCTTAAACTGTAGTGTAGTAATAATTAAAAAAGTGTATTGTGTGTCTTTCAAACTCGATAAAATTTGCAGACTCTTCCTACAATAATTAGTTGCAAAAGTAATTAATATCAATTAATTTATTATACTAGTAATTTTAGTAATTTATATTAAAATGTCTTCAGAGTTTTTTTTTAACTATAGCAATATTAATATTTTAAGCAAGTTTTTGTAGGCTCAGTTTTCAAATAGCTTCTACATACATAGCTGCTACTTTGAAAAAGATAATTATAATTTTGTGATGACAAAAGCAATTTGATTTGACATCCATGCCCAAATTGTCGTTTATACAGGGTGATTCAAAAAACCGCTGACAGACTTCTAGGGTAGATAATACATGAAAAATTAAGACGAAAAGTCTTAATAAACATAGGGTCGCAAATGCCTCCTTAAAGAGATACAGGGCGTCAATATTTCTGTAAAATTAAACATTGTCTGCAATAATTCCAAAATGCCTGAACATTTCTATTTCAAATTTGCTATGCGTAGTTAGCACCTTAAGACCAATGTTTGATGTACTGCTCAAAATTTTATGAGCAGCAGTGTCGTAGAGACGGGGTCAACGTGACCCTTTTTTTAAAAAATTTCTACGCCACAACGAACAAACGGGCACTATTTTCGTGTAAAGTGTTCAATTGTCTATCGAATTGGTATCTTGCAAAATTTTGATTAAAGCAACCATTTTTAAGAAAAACACGTTTGTAGAAAATTTGTGAACCCAATTTTATTTTCATTCATTTTAGTTTCGCATAGTAGGCTTGTACTATTCAAAATAAAATTAAACATCGGCTGTCACTAATGTCAATAATAAGTGTACAAGTGAGTTAAGTAAACTAGCTTATAAACTTCTCTTTGTCATTTTTACGGTTATTTAAATTACTTCAGCTACTTCACTATTTTCGATAACAGTATGAATTATGAATATTCATTTGAAGAGATGACAGAATTGCATCTACGTTATGGTCTAGCGAATTTTGTTTCCCGTGATGCAGTTAGGCGGTACAGAGAAATGTTTCCTGCACGAAGAACACCCAATCGGCAAATGTTTGATAATATCGATAGAAGATTAAAAGAAACGGGTAAATTAAAAGCAATAAAAATTCATTCTGAACGACGGCGTTATGCTAGAACTTCGGAATCTGAGGAAATAGTCCTGACAGCAACAGAAAATAATATGTTAAGTACCCGACAAATTTCTAGAAATTTAAACACGTCACAGTCATCTGTTTGGAGAAAACTTCGCGAACAACAATTGCACCCTTATCACTTTCAACGTGTTCAACATTTACTACCTCAAGATTACCCACCAAGACTAGAGTGGTCACGATGGCTGCTTGGCAGGCTTGCAGAGAATCCCAATTTTTCCGCGAATATCTTATTCACAGATAAAGCATTGTTTACGAGAAGGAATAATTAACCACAATAATCATTTATGGAGCGACGAAAATCCTCACGTCATTCGAATAACAAATTTCAGCATGAGTTTTCAATTAACGTTCATGCTGGCATTATTAGCGATACGCTTATTGATCTTTTTAGGCTACCAAATAGACTAGATGGTCAGTCTTACCTTAATTTTTTAATGAATAATTTGAACAGCTTGTTAGATGAAGTACCACTGGATGTGCGGAGCAGCCTTTAGTTCCATCATGACGGCGCTCCGGCACATTTCTATCAACAAGTAAGAGATTATTTAAATATGACATACCCTATACGGTGGATGGACGTGGTGGTCCAATCCAATGGCCCGCCCGTTCACCGGACTTAAATCCTCTGGATTTCCACACTTGGGGTCATGTTAAGGAGCTGATTTACGTAACCCCAGTAAATTCGTAATACGCCCGGGATATTTGAAAGAATAAGAAGATCCTTAGCTCGGAAGGTAGAAACGTGTGTCGAATCGCAAGGTGGTCACTTCCAGCGTCTATTCTGATATTTTACATTATTTCCAGTTATATAATTTTTATCATTACATTTTCACCCTTAAATTTGTTGTTTATTGTTTACGTTATTTCATTCTGACAAAATTAGTTGAAACCTAAATTACTAAAAAACTGTAGCTTTAATCAAAATTTTGCAAGAGACCAATTCAATAGACAATTGAACACTTTACGCGAAAATAGTACCCGTTTGACAAAATTGGCAGTGACGTAGAAAATATTTTTAAAAAAGGGTCACGTTGACCCCGTCTCTACGACACTGCTGCTCATAAAATTTTGAGCAGTACATTGGTCTTAAGGTGCATAGAAAATTTGAAATAGAAATGTCCAGGCATTTTTGAATTATCGGAGACAAAGTTTAATTTTACAGAAACTTTGACGCCCTGTATCTCGTTAAGGAGGCATTTGCGACCCTATGTTTATTAAGACTTTTCGTCTTAATTTTTCATGTATTATCTACCGTAGATGTCTGTCAGCGGTTTTTTGAAACACCCTGTATAAATAAACAGGGGTTCTTTTCACGTGTTTTTCAAATACAAATTTCTGAAAAAGTAATTTGAAAATTCCGGAAACTACACTACACAAATACCACAGAAATTTGCTTACGGTTTGCTAAGACGCAAACAGCTGCCAAAAGTAGCACTGCGACACTTGTAGTCTTCCACAGGTAGGTCATATTTACTTGCAAATATCATTTATATCTACCGGCCAAACAAAAAGGAAGAACTACGTTGGATCATCTTTTCGCTTAATATTTATATACAAGTTTTTTCTATCTCAGATTGTGGATAAGTCAGATCACTTTCTAATCTCTTAGCTTAGAGTCATCCTCAAAATATTTCATGTATCCAAGCATCAAAGATTCATAGCTACATATTGTAAATCATCCTGTGAGCGGTATATAATTCTGTCTGCAAGGAATTGGGAAGACATTTAATCAGTGATAAGTTTGCAACAGATTTATGACTGGATAAGAAAAAAATTCGCAAATCGCAAATGTATGGAAACAAGACAATTTCTAGCCATATAAATTGTAAAAGTAAAACATAAATTCACACACTTATGTTGGAAATTCAAAAAATGTATTTCTTTGTTGAACGAAGTCTAAATATTAATCACTTCATCTAACATTAATGTTAATAGAAAAAAAAAGATGCAAACAATTTTTTCAGTGGCACGAAGTTGATACCTTTACGAATATCTTCTTAACATTATGAAGAACCATAATAACTGTTCTACTGCTTATTTATAGCCTTATGATTTTCTTCAGAGTTTTTATACGATCTCTTTGGTGAGGCGTAAATATTAGAAGATATTGTCAAAAATATTTATAATATGGGAACCTACATTATGAAAATCATGGTAAGGGTGTTAAATTAGAATAGTTTTAATTATGTATCTTTTCGCTGGGTTTATAAAACAAAGTGGCAAGTTACAATAATATTTATATTAATAATAATACAAGCGAGGTTATTCCTTTCGAGGAATTATTTTCTTCTCAAATATCCTTTATCGGTATGAAGAGTGAGGTACATCAAAATTAGTATTAACTTTAAATTATTTTTTTAGTGTCTACATAAACGCTATTATAATATTTAAATATATTATCATTAAAGTTCATATTCTAATGTCAGACTAAGTGCAGTGTGATGAGTCAGTCACACAAGTGCTTATCAGCGGACTGTAGAAGAGACCGCTTGGGCAGTCTAGAATGTTGGGATCCCCATAGCTGCACGCAATAAACTTTTTGCAGTCACCTGGATACGAAGTGAGGAAAAATAGGTCGGGAAACTCTGCGCATATGTCTGACGGGGCTATGGTAGGTTCAATTGGTAAATCTGTTCCAGTTGGTTCAGGTTCAGAAGATGTTGGTCCTGGTTCGGGAATTTCAGTTGGTTCAGTTCCTTCTGGTGTCTCTGTATCTTCAGGGGATTCTGTAGACGGCTGAAAAATAATTTTATTAGATTAAAACCAATAAATAATTCACTGAAATCAATTTATGATTACATCCATAAAAATTTCAGTTGTTTAAACTGCTATGCAAAAATTTCGTAAGGATGAACGGATTAAGATTATTTACTTCTTCGGTTTCTGCAGGATTCTCAGTTGTTTCCTCTGGGATATCTGTTGTTTCTTCGGTTGCTGGTTCGTCGGTTGTCGGTGGACCTGTGGGTATAGTGTTTGGAACTGTTGAAGGTGCTTCAGCTGGGGTGGTTGATACAACGCAAGCAACAGCATCAGGCCAGTCACAAGTTTGTATTATCGGATTGTAATGGGTTCCACTGCCACAATCCATTATTTGAGGTCCCCATGGCGCGCACACATAATATCTTGAGCAGTTGGTTGGATCGGCCCAGGAGATTTCGTCTAGGCATTCGTCACTCGCGAGCAAGGAAGCTGTGGAAATTTTTATAATTAATTACACCCGATATTTAGGATTCAATTACATTCATTTAATTCACACAATTTTTTTATTTTAAGCTAGAGAATTGTATTAAGATATCAAAAAATTAGATCAATAAGAAAAGGACGTTGACTTTAAGCTTTCTTGTACAGGAGAACAGCAAGAAACTACACTACAGTAATACATAACAGTTTCTTACGGTTTGCTATGACGCCGACAGCTGCCAAAAGAAGCACTGAGGCACTTGTGATCTTCCATAGACAGGCCATATTCGTATGAAATACAATATCTACCTGTTAATTAAAAATAGGAAACTACCACAAATCACTTTATTGCTATATTTATATAAAAATTTCCCCTCTCCCATAGTGGATAAGCTAAATGATTTACTAATCTCTTAGCTTAAGAGTTACGCTCTGTGTTATCCGTCACCGGGTAGTAAATATTTGCGAAAGTGCATGGTGTAAATTACTGTGCGATGAGTGTGTTTTCTATGGGATGTCACGAAAACTTCTAATTTTTTAATCATTTGTAAGTATAACGGAAAAAACGTGGAAGGGCCATACTTCGGATATTTAATTTTCTATTATTTCGTACTATTTATTTTAAAAGTTATATTTTTGGGCATTTTTGGGAGTTACACTGTAAAAAGGTCGGTGTGACTGAAAACAATAAACGTTCGGAGTCAATCCATTGAGTGAAATTATTGAGTATATGTTCACTCAATATTGGGCATTTTGATCATTTTACTCATTTGTGATTATATTTAAACTAAAACTGAGTACTTTCACTTAAATATAGGTACTCTTAAATAAATTATTCACGTAAACTCGTATTTGGTGCACCTGTACCTAAATCAGAGTAAATGTCCTCATTACTGAGTGAGTTTGAACGTATTTTAATTTCGAATAATTTGAATGTAATCTCGATCACAGTTGATAGAGGCCCGTTAGATGCTCCTGAAATGTGTGATCGCCAGGAGAACAGGCCTTAGCCGGCGGCGGCGGGTCTCAGCTGACGCGTCTCAGCCAAGACAGGAGGAGGCCCCGCGAAGTGAATTATTAATTATTTATGAACGATTTATTTTTGCACTCAATATTTAGTTAATTAAAAACCAAGTCTGAGTAAAAAATGATTCAATCATAGTTAAATTTAAATCATATTAGAGAAAAAGTCAACTCTAAATTGGTTTTATATATTCAGAATAGAGTCAAAAGTCGCTCAATTGATAGTTAGCAAAAATTCGGATTTGAGTAAAACTCACTCATTTCTGATGTACTCATACTAATAAAGTGAACATTTCATTTAATCGGATGTGGACAGAAATTGATACATTATTGAGTGAAATTGAGTGAAATTTGAGTGAAATTTTTTTACAGTGTATTTTGAAAACTATTGTTATTTATTGTATGGATACAAACCGGAAAATCCCAGATACATTTTCTGTTATAGGTAGACAGCAGTGAATGTTGTTGAAAAAATACAAATAAAAGATAAATGAATAAGGAAACATTATACTGTGTAAAAAAATCACTGAAATTCACTCAATTTTACTCAATAATGTATTAATAATGTCTCTACACACCCGATTATGTGAAATTCTCACTCTATTAGTGTGAGTACAACTAAAATGTTACGACTAACTATTGCAACAGAAGTGAGTGAATTTTACTCAAATCCGAGTTTCTAAACGAAAACGTAACCCTTTGCATAGATGCTTTGAAGAAAAGAGAACACATTACAGTAACAAAAATAAAAATGATTTTAGATATCGTCTCCTTTTGTTTAAAAAGTAGAGTATTCTACAAGTTTTATTGCATTCTCAATTTTCTAGGCTGTTATCTCATCTCTCAGTATAAAAAGTAGATGGATAGATGGGTGGATGGGTGGGTTTTATAGGTGGTACAGGTGGATGAATAAATATGCGTATTCATGCATGAACGACTGGATAGAAAGATGTATGAATTCATAAATGGGTGAGTGGATAAAGAGATGGATCCAGAACTCTGCAACACGAATTATACCATGAAAATGGCGGTTTTAAGCATTTTCATCTATTTTCTGTTTTTGAATGAAATTGGACCAGCTATGATGATAAATTGGAATTAAACGAGTGAAAAATCACACGTCTAGTGAGCTGGTAGAATAATTTGATTTTTTATAACTGTCGTCGGTCGTAAATGACGTTTTTTTGGGAATTTTGACCTGTTTTTTTAATTTTCCCGAAAATTCAGACCCGTTGGGCCAAATCTGAAGGCAGATTCGGATTCAGCGGAAAAAAATACATGGAAAAACATGGGTCTGAATACCAGATCCGATACTTTTTCTTTTTTTGTGGGGCTGTGTAATTTAACTATCCGTTTATTTAACCAAATATTAATCGAGACTCAATATATTGTTGTTTTTAATTATTGTAATCAAACCACTGCATTTAAACATAATTTTCACCGAAATAACCAGATTAACGGACACTTGTCCAACACTACACGCCATACACCACGCCACGAGATGACCTAATGGGGATGGTGGGAATAGACAAAGACAATGCACGATAATCATAGAATGGGGACATTTACTCGGATTTAGCTACAAGTGCACCTAATAAGAGTTTATTTGCAGAATTTATTTAACGGGTACCTATATTTGAGTGAAAGTACTCAGTTTTAGTTCGAATATTATCACAAATGAGTAAAATTATGAAAATGCTCAATATTGAGTGAAAATGTAGTCAATAATTTCACTCAATGGATTCACTCCGTACCTTTATTGCTTTCACTCACACCGATCTTCTTATAGTGTAGAGAGAGAAAAAGGAAGAATTTACGAAATAAATGAATAAAGTTAACTAAATACCAAAACTACCTAAAGATAATTTAAACAAAATTACTGAAACATCTATTTAATGAATATTTTGTTACAGAAAAAATATATATTAATGGAGACATGGAATAAGAATCATTGCATTACATTATACAGGGTGATCCATTATCCATTATCGAGCGGCTGTATATTGGAAACTAGACGTGCTACGATTATGGGGTAAAAAATCTATTAACAAATACAGCTAAAAGAAATTGATTTAAAATATTTTCAAGTTTGTATCGTCACCACTAGGAGGCGCTACTGCTATAGTATTACAGAAAATTGTCGGTTTTTCGAAATTTCGCCTATATAAGCGAAGTTGAAAATATACTTTTTAGATACACTGTTAAGCCCTTCACAAGTTTTGTTTGAACTTTTTTTTGTTATTACCATAGCAACGCCAGTATGAAGGACGCCATCTTGAAATTTTTAAATTGTCATAACTTCTGAATGCCTTAATCGATTTCAATAAATGATGGCTCATTTTAAAGAACTGAGAAGAAGATTATGTCAATGTTATTTAGAGAATTAAATAAAGGAGGATGTTCTAGCACAACTTCACTACTTTAGCAATAACTTGAAAACGAAAAAAGATATCGACCTCCGGTTTGTGTATTTGTTTTCCTTAATGAATGGTCTATCAAGCCATGAGAAAAATAACTATATCGTTGTATTTAATTTTTTTAGTAAACGGAGACAATTACAAAACTTTCCTCATTAGCGAAATTTCAAAAAACCGACAATTCTCTATAACACTATAGCAGTTGCGCCCCTTGGCGGTAAAGTTACAAACTTGAAAATATTTTAAATCAATTTCTTTTGGCCATATTTGTTGATAGATTTTTTACTCCATAATCGTAGCACGTCTAGTTTCCTATATACAGCCGCTCGAGATCGTTAATGGATCACCCTGTGTAAACATGTATAGATGTTAATTTAAATAATAGTTGATATTCAAAAAATAATAGGTAAATTCTTATTTCTTAATGCATACGATGAGAAGAGTTTTAAGGTAATAATTTTCAGTCGAGTCAATTAAATTATTAATTATTATTTTAATATCAGTTACGTTTCCTATCTTCAAGACATAATAAGCTTAATTTATTTTTTATTAGCATTTGACTTACATATCTTATAAACTTATTTTGGATATTTTCAAGCTATTAGTATACATTATATTTGTCCCATGACATGACGACGAAAACTTGAGAATATGTTGCCATAACAATTTCAAGTCAATAATGTCTATGAACATATGTCTAAAACTCATTCGTAGCCGGGTATCGGGGATTTTAAATCTCAATAAAAATCAACTAAAAAGAATGTTTCAGTGTCCACCCAGTTCCAGCGCTCTCGTGTGGGAGCTCTCCTCAAAGCTGAAGAGTTGGCTCTTCTGACAGTCTCAGAATTACCGTGAATATTTCCTGCAGCATCCAAAACCTAGCAAAAAGCCCAACTGTATTTTCAGGATTTTTTGCATAAACAAAACTTTTCAGACTTCTCTAAAAGAAATAGTATAGGGGATTGTAGCACTGCTTTCAGATAATTTTGATTTAGAAACTTTGTTACTTGTCTACCGTAGTGAGGATGTTCGCTTTCGAGTTGTATCCACATTCTTTGTATTACATTTAGAAGCAACAAAGTCTAGTAATGTTGGAAGATCATTTTCCAATCTAATAACTTGTATTGTGGTTGTGGAGACATATATGGGAAAATTTCTATTTACGTGTCTTAATGGAATGTGTTTTTATAACGTTCTGTAGGACGTCATAAAATATATCAATGTTATCGGCGATGTTATTATTGAGCGAAAACAAACGATCCCATGGAATACTAGATAATGTCTATTAACTTCCAAATAATTTGCAGTGTGAAATTTTTAAATAAAAGATAAAGTTCTTCGAAAAATCGTTGAGTTTCATTATCTCTCCAAATAATGAGGTTTTCCAGGTTATATTCTCAGTGCGATGAAAGCTATAATAAATCGAGAACGCTGTAAGATTCCAGTAAAATATCTAGGTACCAGCTTTATATTTCAAAGGTCTCGCATTTAAGAATTAATTCATCGCGCAACCGCTTAAAGCGTTGCTTAGGTAGATTTAGTTTTTACTACTGGGATACAATATTCTGTTATCTGTGAAATAGTTATTTAGTCCTGTTCGTCATATTTATTACATCTGCTCTATTATGGAATTATATACGTATTAAGATTAAATTATTGTTAAAATATTACAATTCAAGGATGATCGAAGTGGAAAGCAGAATTAATTTTTCAAGTTATGAAGAATATTTGCCGCTTGCGAAAGACAGAAACTGCAATATTGCAACTTAAAAATATGCCAAGGCTCCAAATAAAACGTAATTCTACGCAATTCTTCGAAGAAATGCACCATTTGCTACTTCCAAGAAGTAAATGCTTTATTTACATGACAAAATCAAGCA